CATGGACTGTCGTGTTCAAAAGCGCATTTTACTTATTGCTTACTAATAAAGTTATAGTCTTAAAAATAGATAAGTGAGGTAGAGGTAATGTAGTTAAACTCTAGCCATAATTTAATACGTAGCGAGTGTAATGGAGGTAAACACATTAGTTTCAAAACTAGAAACAGCGATGTAACTCGCGGTAAAATAAGGGAGGTAACAAAGAAGTAATTTCATTGTTATACTCAAGTTTAACTAGTATCCTTTAAAACTGCATGCAAGAAATTGGTTTGTATTTTCAAATGCTTAAAATAAAGAATATATTTTTTTTCTACATCATTACATGATAAATATAGTTCTGCATATGCCGATACAATTTAAAATATGTCGCATTGAAGTCATGCAAACATATAAAATCCCTAGCATGTAATTCTATATAAAAAATCTCACTACACCTTCAGTGTAGTTCAATTCATATATAACAATGTCCTTTAACTAAAGAACTTTAAATGTTTTAAACATAAAAGTTCTGCGGGTTCTGCGTCGTTGTTTAGTTCGTCTGAATTATTCTTATTTTGATACTATTAAAAAAAAAAAAAAAAAAAAAAAAAAAAAATGATTTAAACATAAAAATAAATTAAAAAAATAAATAAATAAATGTTTTAAACAACAAACATTTTCTCTAAATTAGCATTACTATTTAAATAACAGAAAAAAAAATATTGACCCTTCCCCCACCCCAGCCTACCACGCCGAGGAAAATAAATCCATTGAATCATCATTTAATTACACATTTGCATTTTCAGGTCGGTTTTTTTTTATTTAGACGTTTTGTATTAGATCTATGTATAAGTAAACCATCTTGAATGAATGAAAGTAGGCTACACGTAAGAAAGAAATATTAGTATTGTAAATCTGTATCAGTCCTCACAAGCCGATGACGAATACTGTAATACTAAAGCGAACATGCAAGGCAAACTGACGCTGTAAATTAAATGTCTGAGGTGCACAAAAAAAAATATTTTTTTAAATTTAAAATATTGAAAATAAATTTACCATTTAAATAACTTCTTAAAGAAAAGCGCGGGTCATTATATTATCTATGGGATACCTTTACTAATAATTTGGAAGTGACCCGCTCTTTCCTTTATAGTTATTTAAATAGCAGTGTATTATTATATAGTTAAAGAAAATCATTTATTTTCTACTTTTTAGTGGATTACTACATAAAAGCTTGAAATTTTCGGGCGGGGGTGGGGGACGGACTAAAATTTCTGGGGTGCGGACGCTGTTTAAAGCATATATTTTCTTAGTCTTCGTTCATCCGGCAGTATGCAAGAAACCCGAAATGTTTTTCTTCTAATCCATGTTTTTTTATCAAACTAAACACAAGGTACTCGGAAGTTGAAAGTACATAAATTATGCTAATTTTACATGACAAACATACCTTTGAAGTAAGGTCGGAAATGACATCATTACCCATCCACAGGTCCCCGGACAACGAACCAAACCCAGTTTTGTAATCGTTCCAGTCTCTGGTAAAGTTGACGTCACCTTTGATCCGCCTCTGTGGGTCAAAGTTCAAAGGTTAATTTTTTCAAGGTCAGTGAGCACAAGCAAGTTTTACCAGATTCTTTTTAGACTTCTCTAATTTGTTTTTTAATATAGGCTACAACTATAGCAAACAAAGTAGCTTCACATTTTATGGCTTGGGTTAAAGCAGGAAGATAAGATATTATGTAACCCGGGGTGAAAGTACCCCCCCCCCCCCAATCACCCATGTTACGCCATTGTAGATACTTCTCGGGGTTTTCAAAAATTTGAAAAAAATATACTTGACTTAAAGATCCAAAATAAACCAGGTAAACGTATAAAACAGGGTTGGAGAGAATAGGAAAGTAAATCTATATATAGATATAAGAATAAAACATGGGTGGGACAGAGTAGGAAAGTAAATGTATTTTTAAAAAACTTAAACAAGTCAACATTTTAACTTTTCCGCTGGGAGAAAGTGTATGTAGTGACAAGAACACACCTTACAGGGTAATAACTGTGCAAGGTCAAGAACACACCTGAATTATGACAAAAACACGCCTGAACCATAACAAGAACACACCTGAAGTATGACAAGAACACACCTGATCAATAACAAGAACAAACCTGAGCTATGACAAGAACACACCTGAAGTATGACAAGAACACACCTGATCAATAACAAGAACACACCTGAGCTATGACAAGAACAAACCTGAGCTATGACAAGAACACACCTGAAGTATGACAAGAACACACCTGATCAATAACAAGAACACACCTGAGCTATGACAAGAACAAACCTGAGTTATGACAAGAACACACCTGTATAACGATCCAGCCACCTCCATCTGTTTGTGTGTCACACAGTGCCAGCTGGTCATTGGTCAACTTCACAACAACACGTGCGGGTGCCATGCTGATGCCATTTCTTGTACACTTAGGAATGGGGTAAAACAAAATTAGGAACATTCGGATTAACTCATATATATATATATATATATATATATATATATATATATATATATATATATATATATATATATATATATATATATATATATATATATATATATATATATATATATATATATATATAAAATGTATGTGTGTGGGTGTGGGTGAGGGCGTGTGAGTGTGTGTGTGTGTGCGTGTTCGTGTGTGCGTATGTGTCTGTGTCTGTGTGCGTGTCTGTGTCTGTGTGCGTGCGTGTGTGCGTGTGTGCGTGTGTGTGTGTGTGTGATGGACGACATGGATCTCACTGTTACTATCCTAGTCTTAATACTTAATTAAGTTTGGTCACTTAGGCCACCTTCTATATCGAATCGACTGTCGTCATCAATGTACTTACATTCGCCCACAGATAAAGACTGTCCCCATCACTAAAGACCTGCTGCTTCTCTTGCTTTAGGTCGTGTAAATTTTCTGTCTTCGTCTTCAAGTTATCTTCCAAAAACTTGGTGCTTTGTATCTAATAAAGCTGCTCCATTGTATTCTTCATTCCTTGTTGGTTTGTCTGTCACATCATCATACTTCACATCGTTTTGTATTTCCATTGATCTAATGTTCAAATTATTGACACTCTTGTCCGATCTTTGAAGCTCTAATTTTTCAACAATTATTTTCGAATGGAAATCTTTGCCGTGTCGTTGAGATGTTGCATCCATTTTTTCAGCGTCATCGGGAAGGATGAGTTTTGGGGACCCTTCGGAAATGATTTCCGAGAGTATGTCTACTTTGTTCACAATTCCGGAAGAATTCGTCTCCAAACTAAGTTTTAATAAAAATGTGTTTTTTTCCGCTTGTTTTAGTGTGACTATTTTTTCAACTTGCTTAATCATCATCAACGTATCATCGTAATAAACTTCGCAAGAAAAGGTCAATAAACTCTCGTCAGCTCGCGAAAATGTCAAACTTAGTGCTGCGAATTCCGTCGTCATTTTACCCTGAACATGAGTTATCGCCCCTTGATAAATCCTAATTTTCCGTTCAGTCGTTGAGATGGACGCCATGACGACCTTGACCTTTGATTCAGTGATTGTATAGATGGACATGTTGACAAGGGCGGTGACCTCGGCATCTTCTTTGACATCCTCAACACACGTTATCTGCCCACAGAGCAATTCATTGCACTCGTGGAAGTTTATGTCCTTAACATCCAGTATAAGGCCTGAAAATCAAAATATACAGTTAACATTGTATAGGGGGCGGGGTCTGATTTTAAGGAGGAAATGGGGTGGATCTGGTTTTATGGGTGCTAAGAAAATGATATCCTGATGAGACAGAAGTTGATAATAGGTCCCGTCGGCGAGGGTATTTATTTTCTCTATCTCGGTCGTAACTTGTGAAGAAATTATTGTACTAGTCCGATGTTATTTTACAGTCACTCGTCCACCCTCTGTATTCTTCAAACTCCGAAACAATGGCGGTTAGAACGCAGAAAGGGAAATCCGAAGGGATTGTTGTGGGAATCTATTTTGTATTTATTAATATTTGTAATTAGTTATACTATTTTGTACAATTTAATTTAATGTAACTTAAATAAAATATTTTTGAGATAAACAAGTAATTAATTCTGTAAAACGGTACGATAAATAAGAAGTGAAACGTTCAGATAATATGCGTGAATACTTAAAACATTAATGATTTTATATTTGGTATTAATGATTTTAGTTCGTCTCATTCCGTGCAGTTTAGACCGATAATGTTTATTGAACTTCTTCAAATATTTCTAAAAATTTCTATCTTGGGTGTACGTTTGCTTTAATAAACTTTTAAGGATGTTAATTTAGTTACACGAATTTCGTTCAGAGAGAAATCTCTTAATTATTCTGATGTCGTATCGTATACAACTTGCAACGCTGTGCAGTTTTACACTCTCAAAGTTAAAAAATAAAAATAACATCAATAGTTAAACTTTTCAAAGCAATATGTTATTGAAAAAATAAAGAATTCACATCAGTTTCTCACGTTCCTTCCATTATGACTCTCACTAATGCTGTTTAATTAGATTTAGATGTCGGCGACACACTAAACATGACTAATAGGAAATGTCGGAAAAATTTACACAATCCTATCTTGCGAACTCTGCTCGAAATTAGAAACTCTACATTGTTATTAAATCTACATCTTTAATTACCGAGTATTGCAGACTAATATTTTTGTGAGTTTTAAAAATAAATTAAAATAATTATTAATATGTGTGCATGGAACTGAAGAGCCGCATCTTGACATCAAAAGAGCCGCATGCGGCTCGCGAGCCGCAGGTTGCCGACCCCTGATCTAGGCTGTTTAATACTGAAGAGAAATTACTCCATTAAAAGGTCCGAATAAATAGCAAAGGAAAAAAATTTGATAAACCAGATTTTAATAAATTAGCAAAGAAAAAAAATATTTCAGGTATTCAAAAACAAAATCAATCTAACATATCGATAGAGAAAACTAAAAAGAAATAATACATCGATATCACTATCAAAACTCATCGTCCTTAAAAAACATTAGTAAATGAAAGGCCTACAACATTTCTGTTTACCTGGCCATGTGACTTCTCGGACTCGCATAAATTAAATTAATTAATTAGTAAAAAAAAAAGCTGTTGTTTTTATAAAAACTAAATTCACTTTGCCAAAACAAACTTAATATGGGCCAATCTAACTGCACCAAAAATACTAACCACAGCATTGCGAAATACTCAACGCTAAGACGACGGCCCACATCGCAGCATTCGTGATGGTCTTCATTTCAAATATCCCACAATGGTAAGACGCACTGAGAATATGAGAGCGCGAATTCAGGGGAAGTAAGTCTGGGGGCAGTGTGTCGTTACTGTTGTTGGGCTGGTGCGGGTGGGGGTAGGGGCGTGGTAGCCATTGGCCTACTTTACGGCATAAGGTGTTAACACAATGCAAAAAAAAATGTTAAAACCCCTAGAGGCTTGTTTTTATTCTTTTACACAGTGGTTTTGTTTTAAAATTACAAGTATTATTTAATTTTGGTCTACACGTTTTTCGGGCCAGTTAAATTTTTCGTTAAATTACTTTTGAGCAATAATTTATCGGTAAATTGCCTTCGAACAATATTGGTTTTGTAAATTGTTAAGGACAGCGGTCGGCAACCTGCGGCTCGCGAGCCGCATGCGGCTCGTTTGGTGTCCAGTTGAGGCTCTTCAGCTCCATGCACAAAAAATAATTATTTTATTTTATTTTCATGAAAATATTAGTCTACAACACTCGGTAATAAACGATATAACAATAGATATGAGCAATAAACATTCACTATTCTATTAGAATATGTAGTTACTCCCTATCTCAATGTACTTCCTATTACATTGTCCATTCCGAATTGAAACATTCAACTTCATATATAGTGGATATCACAAAGAAACTAAACCAGCTAAGTGTAAAACTGAAAGAAAAACCCAGCCTGTGTCTTGCTTGAAGAAGTGTATTGTTTCGAAAAAAAAAATACTTTTTTGTTGAATACATTGGTGAGCGGTAAATTACTTAATTACGAAAAATCTGAAAAAAAATATCGTTATGAAATCAATGCTACTATATCAATCACTTCAGCATCAATAATAAACAAAATGAAGGATGTTTTCACTGAGAGATTTGAGCAATTCAAAACAAATGCAAGTACTCTTACTTACATAGTAGATCCTCTCAACACAAATTCTAATGATATTATTTCATGTATTCAAAGCTATTTATTTTAAATTTTTAGATATAGTATGATATTTGTTTAGGATTATATATATATATATATATATATATATATATATATATATATATATATATATATATATATATATATATATATATATATATATAATTCGAAACAAAGTATGCTATTGACATAAAAAATGGTAGTGGCTCTTTAAAAAACAGGGTAATGTTGTAAATTGTAACTTTTGGCTCTTTCGTCTCAAAAGGTTGCCGACCCCTGGTTTAGGAGGAATCAGATTTCGCTTAATCTCTTGCGAGCAATAAGTTTAGTTAATTAATTTTTATTACAATTGGCAAAAAGTCTTTTGACAAAAACAGTCTTTTAACAAACGTCAAATAACGGCTAAAATTCAGTTTTTAACATTACCTTTAAAAAAAAAATTCAAAGAGTGTTTCCCCCCCCCCCCTTTTTTTTTCCACACAACGCCACAACACTCCGAACCTCTAAAATTCAGTTTCTAACATTCGTTTTGAAATAAAACAATTTTTTTAAACTTTACGATAACAAGCTTTTAAATGCAATAAAAATAAGAAGAAAAACTTTCTTTCGTTAGGGGTCATCCATAAATGACGTCACGCTTTTTTGACGATTTTTACCTCCCCCCCCCCCCCCTCCCCTCCGTCACACGTTGTCACAAAAAGCCAGACCCCCCCCCCCTAAAATGACTTCACACCTCAGCCTACAACCCCCCTCAAAATTGCAGTTGAATTTTTTTTAAAAACATCGTGTTTTTCCAAAATCTTGTCTGAAATCTGTCAAAATAGAGTATTTTAATCAATTCCTATTACAATTTATTAAAAATGTTTTCTAAAACGGAAAATAACGTTCGTTTTTTAATGTTTTTTTTCTATATAGCAAAAGTATGACGTCGCACCATCTGACCCCCCCCCCCTCCCCTCCGCTCATCACACATCGTCACAAAATTAGCGACCCCCCCCGTCCCCCCTGCGAGTGTGCCGTCATTTATGGACGACCCCTTAGTAACAGTCGCTCATATTTTAGCGATATGTTGACAAGTTGTACTACTTGATGCCGAAATGGCGAAGAATTCATGCGGTGTTGCAGAGAAGATTAGGTCATTAATTGAATACCATCAAATAGATTAGAACATGGAAATATAACATTTTTTCAGCAGATAATCTCGCTGTCCAATCGCCATCTGGGTCACGTCAAGTACTGCGCCGCTAGTCATACTGTC